AGTATTATTAACCACTTTCCTAAGGAGATAAAAAGGTAATTTTATACTTTCACTACTAGTGAAATTCTTAGAAGTAGAATTGCTTGATTAAATAATATGTTCATTTTCTATGGTTTTGATAAGTAGTTTCTGATGGTTTCCTAGGGTGATAATATCAATTTACTTTTATACCAGCAGTTACCAGAGTACCTATTTAACAACACTAGGTACTACAGTTCTTTTTAATGTTTGAAAATATGATAGGTGAATAATTATATCTTTTCTTTTTAATTTTTAAGAGATTTTTGTATAAAGGATACTCTTTGTCAAAAAATGTATTCTAGTTGGGCCAGCCAATGGTATGGTAGATATAGTGACTGAATCCCTTATGACTAATGGTTTGAGTACCTCCTGGACTCAGTAGCTTGAAAAACATGCCAGGCACATTGGTGTACACCCAAAATCCCAAGGGGAGAATGGAAGAAAAGGAATTACAGGATGGCCATCCTACCTACCTGAGGGGTTGCTTTGTCTTTCTCTCTCTCTGTCTCTCTCTTTCTCTCCACTGAGCACATGCACCCTCTAGCAAATTTAAAAATAAACACACACAGAGATTCTCTTATATTTTCTTGCTTATTATATGCCTTTTAATATTGTTATAGAAACTTCACATGTTTAGAAAATTCAGTATATCAATTTTTATCACATTCATATTTTTTGTCCTCTAAGAACTGTATGTACAAATTAATTTTATTTTGTTTTTTTGCATGTGTTTTTAATATTGCTATATCATCAAATTTGGGTTATACTTTACTCTTTTTTTCGTGGAGGTTTTTTTGTTTTTTTTTTGTTTTGTTTTTTTTTGATATAGGGTGCGTGCTCTCGCCAGAAAGACAGAGAGAGACAGAAGCAAGAAATCACCCCCAAGGGGGAATGACCACGCCTCAACCCCTTCTCCTCTATTCTCCTCTCGAGATCTTGGGCACACACGCACATGCGCCTGGCATGAGTTTAAGCCACCAGGTCCGGGACAGACAGAGAGATAGAAAGCGAGAAATCACCCCCCCCAGAGGGGATGGCCACGCTGCAATCCCTTCTCCTCCATTCTCCTCTTGGGATCTTGGGCACGCACGCACGCACACGCGCCCGGTGTGAGTTTAAGCCACCGGGTCCGAGACTCGAACTGCGGTCGACTATGTGGGAGTCCAGCGACGTAGCCATTACGCTAACTGCTGGTCCCGTGGTATAATTTCCTATTGCTAGTGTTTTGGTAGGATTAAATTAACTAATGTAGTTAGAGCACTACATGGAGCATAACAGGTACATTAAAAAGTTAACTGTGAGGAATTAGTATATATGTGTGAAACTGGAATATGAATATTTTGGAAAGTAAGTTTATCATGCACTAGCGTAAAAATAGATACCTTTCTACAATGATGACAAATGCCAAAAATAGTTTAGGTAACATTTTTCTGTTGGGTAGTATCATCACTTCTCTGGGAATATATCTTATAGTATTCATATCCTTTAGGACTTCCTATAAAATAGTGAGGATATTCACATGGATTTAAAGATATATAATAAAATATATTAAGGTGAATTATAGTCACATAGTTTAGAATGGTTTTTCCAAAGCCCTTTCTAGCTGTTCTCTTCTGAGGTTTTCAACAAGATTTTTGTTTCTCTACTCTTGATTTAATAGTAAAAGAATGTATACCACAACTAATGTTTTCTATTTTTATGCATTTGGAAATGTATAACATCATTGTAACTTGATATTTGACAGGAAACTTAAATAACAAAATATATTGTCATATATTATGTGAAGCACTTTTTGGGACTAAAACATTTAATAAAATGTTTATTTCTACTTTATATGTTAGCTATTTGAACATTTTATTAAGTGATTATTGGTCTTCTAGAAGTTATTTTATATATAATATGATTAAGGTCTTAAACCCTGTATTATCAATAGTGTTTAGATGTCTTAGTAGTGACTCAATTTTTAGAATGTATACTTATTGATTGTTCATAGGCTTCCTTAGAACTTAAGCCATGTTAGTTCATTTCATTAAAAAATTTATGAGTTACTTGTTAGGGTGATAAATACTTCATTAATAAAGCTGTTTAAATTATTTTTGGGATAAAATATCTAGCATCATTAAAATGATTTAAAAATTATTTTAAGACAAAACTAAGATAAAATTTTAACTTTTAATATGAATTTCTTCTATTGGTATTTTTTAGCTATGCAAAAGCTGCCTTTTGTTTAGAGGAACTAATGATGACTAATCCACACAACCATTTATACTGTCAGCAGTATGCTGAAGTAAGTGTTTTCAGAAATAACACTGGTATGTGATTTTATTTTTGTTGCTGTTGAGTATTGTTACAGCACTAACAGTATTTTTATTTATGTTAAGCTAGTATATAAATATTTAAAACATCTGGTAAACTTTGAGTTGTGGGAATAAAACTTAAATTATTATTATTTTTTTTTATTTAAGTTTTTGTTGCTATAGGGTGTGTGAGAGCAAGGAGGGAAAGTGAGAAATTACTCCCCAAAGCCACACCACAGTCCCTTCTCCTCTAGTCTCCTTTCAGGATTTGGAGCATACATGCCTGCTCGCAGCATGATTTTCAGCCTGTCAGACCCAAGACTCAAACTATGTAGTTGGTCATGTGGCATCCAGTACCTTTAATTGTACACCGTCTACTGGCCCAAAACTTAAATTTTTAAATATTACCAAAAAGAAATGCTTACTTTTCAATTAAAAGTTCTACTTAAAACAGTAGAATTCTTTGTACTTTTTGTATTTGTGTTCTAATATAAATTATTACTACCACAGTGGTCACCATTTAATGGCTTCTGAGACATGTACAATGATTATGATTTTTAAATACATTTTCTAGGAAATTCATTAAGGTCAATATTTTGGGATATACAAAGTATTTTATTTGTTTACTATTGAGTCCTGGACTTGGCAGCTTGCTTTGTCCCTTTTTCTTTTTGTCTCATTAGTGAATGCATATGCACTACAACAAATTAAAAAATAATAATAATAAATAAAATGAATAATTCTAAAAAAAAGTCTAAATGGGTTTTTGATTTTTCTAAAGAAGGGGGTGCATTTGAATACCATAAGGTTATAAAGCCTATTGAGGAATGTCAGTGTAGATGTAAAAAGACAGTTTAGTATATAAGTCTAGATTTTAAATAGTAGTAATAGAAAACATAGAGTTGAAGGCAATAGAAATTATACTTGCTTTTTTTTATTGCTATATTTTTGTTTTAAAAAACACTCAGTGATTTAATGTTGATGGAATATAATACTTTTGGGGAAATATTCTAAATTTTAGATTAGCTTTAACATTCTTAAGGTGAATTCTTTTAACATCTTGCATTTGTTTACAGAATTTCTGTTTCGATTACTTAATGCCTATGGTATGATGTAACATGCTATACTTCAAAGTAGTAAAATAAACAGGTTTCAACACTGCAATTTTTAACAGGTTAAATATACTCAAGGTGGACTTGAAAACCTCGAACTTTCAAGAAAGTATTTTGCACAGGCATTGAAACTGAATAACAGAAATATGAGAGCTTTGTTTGGCCTTTACATGGTGAGTTGAGGTGCATGTTTAATGTTATTTTACAAAATCTGTCACTTAAAATCCATTTAACTATCCCTTCCAGTCACTCATTCTGTGTTTTTCTTTTTTTTGTATTTTGTTGATGAACATTTTTTTTCCTTTTAGTTAATCATAAGCAATAGTTTTTAAGGTAGTTTTATTTTTTTAATATCAGTACATCCCAGCTGTTTCATATTTCTTTGTGAATATCTTTTATGTCAGAATTGAAATCTTCCTTTATAAAATTAAATAGTAACAGATAAAAAACCATTTTATGTATTTAATTGTTTTGATATTCTTGGGTTTATGCCTAACATTGTATTTCTTTATATAAATTATGCTTTTATGAGGTATTTTTAAACTATGCTAGTAAGAGACTTAGTAAAATTAAAATGTTATGTCAAATTAAAACACTCTATGGTATAGAAAAATAGTTTAGAAAGTGCGATACATATATAACTATTTATTGTTTAAATATACCAAGTGAAAAGCTTTGAAAAACCAAATAATAAGAGCTGTGGGATATGGGAGAATTTGCTGAGCTTTAAAATATATCTAAAACAAGCACTTCTCTGCACTCAGAAAGACTGGGAAAATGAACTTTTAATAGATCAGTTCTTTGAAATTTTGATATATCCTAGTGTTTTCATTGACTTTTTAATGGCTGTCTTCTCATTGGGCTCAGTGAAAAAGAATTGAGATTGAAGAAATGGAATATAATATATAGGAAACAAAATAATTTTTAGGAACAAATGGGAAAATATGGTTAGAAAAAGGTTAAAAGAATTTCAAGAAAATTTTTCTGGATGTTACAAGAACTAGTTCCATTGGAGATGCTGTATAGTAGCTGTGTGTCTTTACCAAATAAACTAAATACTTATTTTAAAAATAAAATACCCATTTTAACTATTTAACCACAAACTAACGGTAATAGTTTTTCTAGCTTTATGTGCAAGGCATTGTTGGCCTGTTCTTTGCTTTAAATGATTAAATTCCCGCATCAATTGTTTAAGTAGGTACTCTTGTTATTACCTTTTCACAAGTAGTGAAACAGACACTGAGATACAATTAATATGTCTAAAAATGGACATGGAGCTCCTATGTGATTAAGCTAGGATTCTACCCCAGCCATTTCTTAACCACTGCATTTACTGAAATCATGCCAAAAAAGGTGATTTTAAAGAAATTCAGAGATGAAAATAAGATTTTGGTATATATTCCTCACTGGCAGAGAGAGACAGATGAAATAACCTGTAGCAAAGACGAGGTATTAAAGGATTACCTTTTGTTTGAATCACATGGACAGATCCTTTTAAGGAGAAGTTACATTTAAGAATAGGAAACAATTTTTGACTTCCTTTCCTCAGAAATACAAATTACATTGAAAAGTTAGCCTGTGACTTTTGGGTGTACAGGTTCTTTCCTAGAGTCCAGATTAATCTCATTTAAATCCTTTCTTTTTAATTTAATTTTTTTAGGTTTTTGCCATAGAGAGTGTGAGCTTACTGGAGAGAGATAGAAAGAGGGAACATGAGAAATCACCCCCACCCCCCCAGAAGTTATGGCCAAGTTGGATTCCCTTCTCCTCTCTGGATTTTGGGCACTCAACACACACGTGCCTGCTGATCTTTCAAACCACCGGGTCTGGAGCTCAAATTGTAGTCAACCATGTGGGAGTCTAGTACCTTGACCATCATGCCATCTTCCAGCCCCTAAATACATATTTTTTTAAGAGAGATTTTTGCTATAGGGTACGTGCACTTGCCAGAGACAGAAAGCAAATAATCACCGCCACAATCCCTTCTCCATTCTCTTGGGATCTTGGGCATGCATACACACATGCCTAGCCTGAGTTGTTTTTTTTTTGTTTGTTTGTATTTTTTTTTGGAGAGGTTTTCGCTATAGGGCATGTGTGCTCGCCAGACAGAGAAAGACATAGAGACAGAAAGCGAGAAATCACCCCCCAGGGGAGATGGTCACGCTGCAATCCCTTCTCCTCTATTCTCCTCTCAGGATCTTGGGCACGCACGCACACGCGCCCGGCATGAGTTTTAAGCCACTGGGTTGGGGACGCGAACTGCGGTCGACTACGTGGGAGTCCAGCGACATAGCCATTATGCTAACTGCTGGTTCCCACGCTTGAGTTTTAAGCCACTGGATCCAGGACTTGAACTGTAGTTGACTACGTGGGAGTCCAGTGATGTAACCATTATGCCATCTGCTGGTCCGCTAAATACATTTTTAGAAAAAAAGAGGGTGGATCAAATTTTAGCAGCTAACTGGTTCTATGGAGCATAGTTTAATAACTCTTGGTATAGTGAAAAGAGAAATGGGATAGAGATAAGGATCTTCTTTATTTCAAGGTTTCCTTTAACTTGTTTTGGTCAAATCATACCTTTTGTGCTTATTTTTTTTTCATCTGTTAATGTAACAAGTTTGACTAAATTATTTTTAAGGTTCTTTCTTCTGTTATTATTCTATAATTCTGACATTGAAAAGCTGATAAGTTATATCCCGTATAATAGTAAAGTGGTTTTTGATTTATGAAGTGCTCTTCCATGGCTTCCTTATTTAATTTATGTGGTAAAAAAATGTTACCTTTTTGAGTTATGGTAGATACATATTTAAATAATTTTACATTTACTTGAAATACTCTTTTTCTTCCCCATTACTGTAGATCCTACTGTATTTTTACATGTGTTTTCACTTTTAAACCTTGATTTTATTCAACTTCGTTTTTATTTTTAAAAGCCATTTCAGTATAATTTTTGAAAACTCTTTGCTGTTACCCATTTCAATTATGACCCTAACGTTTTTTATCATCTTGACTAGAAAAGAAGAAACTTGTTTCTGATGTGTCTTTTTTTGTTTTTAGTCAGCAAGTCATATTGCTTCTAATCCGAAAGCAAGTGCAAAAACGAAAAAGGACAACATGAAATATGCTAGTTGGGCAGCTAGTCAAATAAACAGAGCTTATCAGGTTAGTGTGATAATTTTGTTATCATGTAGGTCTGTTATTGTATAGGCCGTAGGAAAAGTCATGATACATTTTTGCATAGAAAAGTAAGTCCTGAGTTTTCGAATGACCCAATATTTCTTAGTTATTCTTGTTTCTATAAACTACAAAGCAGATAGCTGTCACTGGACTTTTATGTCTTTGGGCTTTTATCAAATGTGTTGTAATTGTGTATAATTAATTTGAAGTTTTAGTGTAGTCCCCCCCCCACACAAAGGAATCTTTTAAGTATTGTGCTCCCATAATTATACCTACCATCTGGAAATTTCACTGGTTCTGCATTTAGCAAATATAAAGTAATTATATAAAGCCAGGAAGGATAAACTAATTGCATGATATATCTTAGAAGCAGGTTGAGTATGTGACTGTATTTTAAGTCAGAGGTATCTCAGGAAATAAAAGAGAAGGAAGTTCGAAAACCTAAAAATAAACTAGCCAGATTATATTACAGAGTTGGTGTGCTGTGCTTATAGTTGAGATCTCATACTGAAATTTCTCTGCTTATTTGTTAGTTTTCTGAAACTCATCCCTAGGAGGCGTTTTTTTTTTTTTTTTCCCCTCTCTTTTTAAGGTTTTGACTTAGGATGCATATACTTGCTAGAGGAGAGAGAGAGAGTCATGAGAAATCACCACCCACCCCTGCCCTGGTGTGATTGCCATGCTGCAGTCCCTTGTCTTCCATTTCCATCCTCCTGGGATTTGTGGCACATGTGCACATGTGCCCAGCATGTTTTTCAAACTGCCGGGTCCAGGACTCAAACTGCAGTTGACCATGTGGGAGTATAGCACCTTAATCACCATGCTATCTACTGCCTCGTCCGTAGGAGATTTTTCAGGAAATTTTTTTCATGGAAAGCATATTTTCTTATTTCTTGCATGTTTTTAAATATGTCCATAGCCTTTATATTTAAAGAACAATTTGATTGTTTATATACCCTTTGGCATACATTTACTTAAGTATATGTATGTTAAACATATTGATCTATTATTTTTTGTTTTCTTTTTAAATTTATTTGTGATGGAGTATGTATATACCACATAGAAAAAGAGAGGGATGAGTAACCTCCAAAGGGTCTGGTCTGTTCACAGTGTGATGCCCTTCTTCACATGTGTGCCCATGTGTCTGGCTGAATGGGCTGGGATTTGAACCACAGTCACTATGTGTGACCCATCTTCTCTTGCCAGAGAGCCAGCCCATTCGATTTTTTTTTTTTTTTTTTTTTTTTAAGGATAAAATGTTGCTGTCAAGAAGTTTGATGCCATCCTGATTTTCTTTCCTAAGTGATTTATTCTTTGGTTACCAAAGGAATTTTTCTTTACTTAATTTTAGAATCCAGTAGCATTACTATATATATTTTATTAATTATTCTTAGGTTAATTTTCTGAACTGCACAGTATACCTGTTTAGTATGTGGATTCAGTCTTGAATGTGAGAAATGTGCTTTTTCAAAATAAATTTTTTTTTTTTTTGCTATAGGGCATAGCCACCTACTGTAGAGAAACAGAGAAAGAAAAAGAAAGCACTCCTTGGTGAGAAGGTGGCCATGTCACAATCTCTTCTCTATTCTTGGGATTTGGGACATGCACACATACACAAATGCCTAGCATGTTTTTCAAGTTGCTGAGTCTGGGACTCAAACCACCTAGTTGGCCAGTGTGGGATCCAGCCGCCTTTACCACTATGTCACCAGCTGGCTTGAGAGAAAAGTGCTTTTATAATTATGATCATAAATACTTATTTTGTTTCTTTTAAGTTGTCTCTTAGAGCTCCACTTAAAAGTATGTCATATTTTGGAACCAGCAGTTGGCATAATGGCTATGTCGCTGGACGCCAGCCTAGGTTCGAGTCCCAGACCCAGTGGCTTAAACTCATGCCCGCTGCGGGTGCATGCATGCCTAAGATCCCGAGAAGAGAATGGAGGAGAAGGGATTGCAGAGTGGCCATCCCCCCTGGGGATGACAGACGTTCTGTCTCTCTGTCTGTCTCTGTCTTTCTTAAAAGTGCACATGCCCTATAGCAAAAACTTTTCCAAAAAAAAAGTATGTCATTTTTTTTTCCCCACCTCCTGTTATTATTCATTTTCCTTACAATTCATTTCTTCCATTTTCTGGTGTTTTTTTTTTTTCTTTTTTTTTTGGTCTATAATAATATTTTGGAGTTAGCTTATATATTTTTTTCTTGTTCTCCATGTTTAAATGAGGTAGTTCTCCTGGCCTGTCTTAAAGGAGGTAATACTTAAGAATTGAAGGTTAGTTTTTTATTCCCACCAGCAGTGCTTGAGAGTTCTTACAGTTCCACATCTTCATCAGTACTTGACTCTGCCCATCTCTGTGTAGTTATAGCCAATCTGGTGATACGTGGTTGTATTTCATACTTTATTTTGCAGATCCCTAATGATAAGTAAGGTTGAACACTTTCATATATGTATTAGCTATTTGGATATCTCTTTCATGAAATCTGTAATTTTTAATTGATTTATATGACTTTTTTTTTCCTGGTAATGAACCTTTTTTGGTTGTATGTGTAGCACGTGTCTCTAACTCCTTCCTAAATTTTGCTCTTACATGATTTTGATGCACAGCCGTTCTGAAATAAAATATATTCACATTTATCAATTATTTCCTTTATTGCTTGTGCATTTTCTATTAAGAATTTTGCTCCTGGGACCAGCAGTTAGCGTAATGGCTAGTTTGAGTCCCGGACCTGGTGGTTTAAAACTCACACCGGGCGCGTGTGCGTGCGTGCCCAAGATCCTGAGAGGAGAACAGAGGAGAAGGGATTGCGGCGTGACCATCCCCCTGGGGGGTGATTTTTCGCTTTCTGTCTCTCTGTCTCTCTCTGTCTGTCTGGCAAGCGCACATGCTCTATAGCAAAAACCTGTCCAAAAAAAGAAAAAAAAAAGAATTTTGTTCCTCTATAAAGATAAGCTCTTGTCTTCAGAATTTCTGTTTTTTACATTTAAATCCACAGTCAACTTAAAACTTGATTTTATGTATGATGTGAAGTAAGGATCATTTTTGTCCACGTAGGTATCCAGTGTTTCTTTCCATCTCTGTATTCCATCATGAGTCTCATTTCATGGAAGCTAGTTGAATACAATACTTAAGAGATCATAAATGATATATCCATATTGTCTGGGTTATGTGGTCATTTTCATGTTTTTTCTGTTACATTTTCTTACAAATCCAACAGAATTATGGAAGTTTACTTAAGCAAACTTTAACTGTATCAAAGCAAAAATACAGAACTGGTAAATAATATGAAAAAAATAGATTCCAAAGATTGAAAGCCTCATAACTGGATAAATATCTGATATCTAGTTGATACTTCATGACCCATATCTAGGCATATGAACCAGTATAAAATACATAATAAATATTGCTATTGTAATTTCTTCTAGATATTTATAACGCTAGAGAACATGAGGCTTTAACAACTGCTTTTCTTAGTTTACCCTTAATAATGAGACAGAATGTGGCTACTACTTGCTCTTCAATGAGGTAATTGGTTTAGCATGTTCAGTAGAGGCAGGCATTTTTGATTAGTGCTCATGAAAAACTTGAATGTAAATCTACTCACAATTTTCCAGATAAGTGCTTCTTTGGTACACTGTTAAATTTGTCTGTAAATAATCCATATATTATTTATGGTTGCAGAAGTTATTCTGTTACTGTCCTTTAAGGAAATACTAAATTAAATCATGATTTGAGAAAAAAATGTGATTACAACTTAATTAGTTAAATTGCCATTGTAATTCTGGAATAGACAGAATAATTACATGTTAGTAAAAATTTAAAGTGATATATTTGTATTTCTAACTTTCTTTTTGTTTTGATGAAATGTTATTTTGTGTTATTCCAAATTGCACTGGTTATCAGTAATGTTGACACTATATTGCGTGGTTTTCCTTTTAATTAGCTTATTTTTAAAAATCACACTTAACTATTTTTATTATGTTTAAGTCCAAACCAAGAAAAAAGGTTATATTTTAAAATACATATTATGACTTTAAATCTACAAAGTCTCTTTTCATTTTTACCTTACTATTTAAAAAATGATAGTAAATGTTACTTTATAGTGTCCTGTTTTATACCCCTCCTTCAAACCATCAAAGCTTTTTCTCAAAAGTAGGCCTTTAAGTATCTGATTAGGATCATTCCTGTTTATGTTGGATAAGCAGTGATAAAAGAAAAGGCTGTCTGTTCTTGGTAAATCTTTGTGAAAATGAATTTATCATCTGGATAATGGAAGTAATAAGCGTGCTCCACATCCTTTACTTACTAAGGGAAGTTAGGAAAACAATTTTAAATGTGATTCTGAGGTTGCTATACTTTGTAATCATGACTTATATTTTTAACATTTAAATTCTTTAAATTAGTGATGTCTTAGGAAAGATAGGTGATCCTGACTTTTATTAGAAACTTGTCTTTTTTCCTGTTATTTCCCCTAGATACTCCATTTATTTACTTTATCAAATCAAGATTCAACTACAGAAGCTAATGGTTTAGGAAGCAGGCAAATCATAATGGTACTCTGTAACCAGAGGTCAGGGGCAGGTTACCAGTTTTTGAAGCCTGTTGCTTCTATAGTGTTACCTGTACTTGATCACTTAATCTTTCTGGACAGGTCATGAGAAGTTTGCCAAATTATGTTCATTGCAAAAGAGAAGAAACATCGTAAATCAAGTACTAAGTACTTAAGACAGGATTGCTGTTTGAAGGAATCATCAGTCACTTGCAAACACATTGAGTGGTTACATGTTAACTTCAAAATACTAGATGGTGCTTATACTTCATGTTCATCAATACTTTTACCAGAGGGAAACAATATAGATAAAATAAACATTTCTCTACCCTTAAAAGGAACACTCATCTAGTAAATGTGTTATGTGAAAGCAGACTGATAGATAATAGGACTTGTCCGTTTAATTAAGAAACTCATTTTAAAATCAGCATGAGGTATTCAACCGTGTTTCCTCCAGTGATAATGTGTACTATCTTGAATTCAATATGCCATTAATTTGTTTTCAAATATATAAAGGTAGTACTTGATTCATTACATTTTGTTTTCGTTGTAAAAGACAACCCTAGTTTAGTTTTATAAAGTAAGTAACAGTGGCTGGCAGGTGGTGTGGTGATTAAAGGTGCTGAATTCCCACATGGCCAGCTACAGTTCAAATCCCATACTTAGTGGATTGCTTGCTTTCTTTCCCTTTCTCTCTGTCTGGTCAAATTAAAAAAATAATAACAACAAATGGAATTAAATAACTAATTCTTTTAAAAATAAATAACATTTAATAAACTAGAAATGCATATTTTAAAGCATGCTTACATTATGTTAGCATCTAGCATGGAATTTTACTTGACAGCTCTTTGCTGCAGAAGCATGATACCATTTAGTCAACTAAAAAATCTGAGAAATGGGGAAGAAATTATGACTAGTTTAATTTTAGAGATTACTTGTAACTTTAAAACGTTTAATAAAAAGTACAACATATCACTTATATTGTACTTTTGTTTCAAATTGTGAAAAGTCTGTTTGGATGCCAGATATATTGAAATTATTCATATTCTTATGAATATGAATATAATTATAAGCCAGATTTCATTTTTAAATTATACTATTTTCATATATGTTTTAGATTTGAATATGATAGTATTTTCTTTTTTTAAAATTACCAGAGGATAAGTGTACTGTGCAGAGACAGACAGAGAAAGAGAGAGAGCCTCTCTCAACGGGTTATGACTACACCACAATCCCTTCTTCTCCATTTCTTCCTTATTCAGTATTTGGGTGTGCATGTATGCACATGTACCCAGTGTGTTTTCAAGCTGCTAGGGCCAGGATTAAAAGTCATCCATGTGGGATTTAGCTTCCTTAAACACTAGACCACAGGGCCAGCCTAAAGATGATAGTTTTTAATTAAGTCTATGATGTTACAAGCTACCATACTAGCTAAACACTTAAATTGGCCAAGTATGCAATAAAATGTTAAAACAATGAAAAAGAAGATAAAACCTTTAATGAAAATGTATTTGAAACCATAATTTTGCTCTTACTAGAATAAAAAATGTATTTGATTTTGTATTATGATAAAATTTTAGGTTTCAATGATGATGTAAAGGTAAGATTGTGATTTTGAACATACCAGTGGTATTGAACCTAATTGAATTTTTTTTTAAATTAGTTTGCAGGTCGAAGTAAGAAGGAAACCATATACTCTCTTAAGGCAGTTGAAGACATGTTGGAAACATTGCAGATCACCCAGTCTTAAGGTTTCAAAACCTTTTTGATATTAGAGTTCACAATTGCACAGTTGAACTTACTGGTCTGTGACTTATTTACCAAATGCCCAGTGCTATTTGTATTCTAATTTCTGTTAAGAAGGTGGTTGTAAAGAATATGTTTATATAAACCTAAAAATGCCTTTTATTGCTAAGCAAGAAAATATGGGAAATCCATAGAAAAGAGATTTAAAAGACTTACTGATTGTATATCAATCCCTTCATATCATATTAATGTGTGTGTGTTTATAGATATATATATGTATTATACATATAAGAAAATAACTGCTTTTAAACCACAATCTGATATAGAAATAACCTTGTTAAATAAACCACAATGAATTATTAAACTTGTATATGAAGATTCTAACTTTTTATTATAATCTTAGTGCATATATTGTTTTAGAACTCAGTTTCTGGTTAACTCCTTCCCACTGGTAATAGGAAATCCATAGCATACATAGCCAACAGAAGCAAAGTACACACTTTGTGTATAGTGTCTGGTTGGATTTTGCTCTGGATCTAGTAGGCTATTTGAATTATTTTATCTGCTATAATGATGATCTGATAAATCTTGTTTAAAATACTTCATTCTCCAAAAATCAGCAATATCTCTTTGTGAAGTTTTTGTTTTAACATAGTTCATAATTGAGATTTTGACCTACAAGATGCCTTAAGGTTAATGTGTGCTGTAACACTTGAATATAACCTTTTTCTTTTTCTTTTTTTCTTTTTTTTTTGAGAGGTTTTCGCTATAGGGTGCGTGCGCTCGCCAGACAGAGACAGAGACAGAAAGCGAGAAATCACCCCCCAGGGGGGATGGTCACGCCGCAGTCCCTTCTCCTCCATTCTCCTCTCGGGATCTTGGGCACGCACGCACACACACCCGTCATGAGTTCCAAGCCACTGGGTCCGGGTCGCGAACCACGGTTGGCTACATGGGAGTCCAGCGACATAGCCATTACGCTAACTGCTGGTCCCCTTGAATATAACCTTTGCACAAGCTGTATTTATTGATTCTGTTTTTTTCTTTTTTAAATTATAGGACATTTGCCAAAGAGAAAGCAAGAGAGAGAGGGAAAGTGAGAAATCAACCCCAGGGAGATGACCATGCCACAATCCCTTCTCCTCCATTCTCCTTTTGAGATTTTGGCACACATGCACATGCACATGTACCCAGCATGCTTTTCAAGTCTCCAGGTCCAAGACTTAAACTGCAGAGTCAGCCATGTAGGATCAGGCTCCTTAACTACCATGCCACTTGCTGGACCTGAACCTTTTGACTTAAATTACATACAAGAATATTTAAGGATCATGGGAAATAGGTATTACAGGAGCTACAACGACTGAATTATTTTTAGTTTTGGGGGAAAATGAGAAAATTTAAACCATGTCTAGAAACAAAATGATTAGAGTTCTTACATCCTGTCACCTCATTAGTGATAATTAGAATTTATTTTTCTTTTTTCAAAAACAATCATTATGCTATCTTCAACAATATTTTGCATGTCTCAATAGAACAGAAAGGACTTCAAAAGTTAAAACACTATTGGGAACCAGCAGTTAGCGTAATGGCTATGTTACTGGACTCCCACATAGTCGACCGCGGTTCATGTCCCAGACCCGGTGACTTAAAACTCACGCTGGGCGCGTGTGTGTGCGTGCCCAAGATCCCGAGAGGAGAACAGAGGAGAAGGGATTGCGGCGTGACCATCCCCCCTGGGGGGTGATTTCTCGCTTTCTGTCTCTCTGTCTGTCTCTGTCTGGCGAGCTCACGCGCCCTACAGCGAAAATCTCCAAAAAAAAAAAAAGTTAAAACATTATTTAGACAGAAATCAGTTTTTAACATAGGCAATTGTTCATTCAGGGCAAATACTTACTTAGCATTAGTTTGTAATTTACATATACATTATATTTAAATTAAATTTTTTTTTTTAACAATATATAGGTAGTTCTTTAAACTCACTACTGTTGGATCTGGCCAAGTGGGTATTGTGAAGGAATTAACAATCTGGAATGGTTTGGGAAGAAAATTGTCAATAGCAGCGTCTTTGAATCTTTTGAATAATTCTTAATGCTAGTATATTATTCTGCATGATATTCTTTTTCATTTTATTCTACCATGAGTAATGAGAGGCTGACTAACAGTCTTCTGTAAAATAACTCTTCCCATATAAAGATAATTCTCCACTAATCCTGTTAGAGAATGCACTCTTTCTGCATATGAAATGAGAAATTACATTTTCGTGACCAGCAGTTAGCATAATGGCTATGTTGCTGGACTCCCACGTAGTCAACAGTGGTTCACATCCTGGACCCAGTGGCTTAAAACTCACGGGTGTGTGTGCGTGTGTGACCAAGATCCCGAGAGTAGAATGGAGAAGGGATTGCAGCATGGCCATCCCCCCGGGGGGTGATTTCTTGCTTTCTGTCTCTCTGTCTCTGTCTATCTGGCGAGCGCACGTGCCC